GGAATAATTCCCTTATGTCTTAGCCGTCGGACGGCTTCCCGGATGTGTTTGGGCTGAAGAGGTCCTGTTTCGCCATTTTGTTCCATCACATCCAACCCTTCCTCCACTACTTCGCCCACAAATACTTTAGCGATTCCCGAGACAGCGATCACCACATTCTGAGACACTGAACAACCGGTTATCGATTGCATCAACTGTTGCCACAAATAATCCATATATTAGATCAAAACCTCAATTAATTATCATTCAATAAATGGTACCCTTTTTATGGCCGCCTTTGGAAACGCGGATCTTCTAAACATCTCGTATCGGTTGAGCTGTTCTTCAGAAAAGTTGGACACAAGAACTCTACAGAAGACAATGTCATCAATAATAGGATTCAATCCAAAAAAGTGGTAAAAATCAATTCAATAATTACTGCATTTTCTCGCGTTCTTCCTCTTCGGCTCTTTGTTTCAATTGATCCGATTTAACCATCTCTTCGATCACATTATTGCCATCTTTGGTGTCACTCTTGGACTTACTGTTCACGTCTTTACCACTCGTCTGACTTGAGCTCATATTGGAGTCCATTTTGTCTTCACTGCAGACACTATTGTCTTCGTTGGAGTCGTTGTGGACATCATTGGTGTCATCGTTAACGTCATCCGAGTCTTCGCTTCTCATCTTTTTGGCCATTTTTGACACTTCAGGCAATTTTATGGTCAAAATTGTTTCGTTTGTTTCGCTTTTCGTATCCATTATTGAGTGAAACAATGTTTTCAATCACTCATTGATTTCAATACAAAAACTTTTGATTCAATCGTTGTTTTGATTGCAAAATGAAATCAATATTTAATTTTGATTTTAATTTCCAATGAATAACATATAAAATGTCAGCCAATAGTCAACCCCTCTATTGGTAACGTTGTTTGTGAAGAGCCCTTAGATGTCGTCGTTTACTAGAATTTTTGAAAACAAAACAAATCTTTTGATATATTTTTGTGTTTTGTTTTGAGTTTTGGTTTCCATTAAATGCACAATAAATCCAATTCATAGCAATAGTTAACTCAACACTCGTTTAACACTAAGATTACGTGCATTTCATCCATAATCTCATCATTTAATACCCAAACCATTGGATCTGATATTTGAGACACAAAACCCTTTTTGCCATTCATTGACACCAAAAATATTTGTACACAAAAAATGGTAATTATTTTTTCGTACAATTAATTGTATTTTGCATTTAATTTAATGGCAATTGTTTTGCAATGAAATTAATGGCATTTTTAATTGCAGTTAAAAGTGGATTAAAAGTATTGATTGAATTGTATTTGCGATACAAAAACGGAAATACAATTGAAATCTCATTGAAGACTCGCATTGAGTGAATCGTTGAATACATTTACAGGACTTCCCATTGAATATCATTTAGAGGTAAGCATTGATTGTTGTTTTGAAATCACATCCCGTTTTGATTTGAATATCGTTTGATTAAATGCTCTCAATGTGTGTCCAATTGATTGACGCAAATATTATCAGCGATTTGTAGAAAATTGTTATAAAACTAATGAATGAAAGCCTTTGTAATGAAAAGATAGGATTATTTGGTATACATTTCCATATCTTTATTGAATTAATGATAAAAA